GCCCACCCAAATATCCCACTGCCTCTCCTGCGCTTCCTATTGAATGCAAAAATAGTGAATAGATCTATCAGCGTTTGTTTCCTTCAGCTATTTCCCATCAGTTGCATCAAACTTTTAACAATGAATAGATCCTCTTATAAAGTAATAAGGAAATTAAAATATGTAGCATATCCCGATATCTCCAACAACATTAATATTTGATTTTCCAAGGGAGGCACCGCCCATTATACTCCTATAACACATCACACTGAAGTCACATACATTAGCACAATAACACAACAATGTAATCCCAGATCTGAAGTGCACTGCTGCTCTTATTTTGAATGCGCCTCCGACTTTGTCGGCATGGTACGAACGTTCTTGAGAAGGTCCTGAATTTTGGACAGCATCAGCGCCTGAGAGGGAGCCTGAGAGGAATCACCAGGCACGCTGCTGCTCGCCTGCGGGGGCCTATGGCCGTCCTGAAGCTTTATTTTCTCAAAAAGAAACTGCTTCTCTGCCTCCGCTTCCTCCAGGCGCCGCTTGAGGTAGAGGCTAGCGTAGTCCTGCTCAGCCCTCTCAGATTTGGCAAGCGCGATGCTCTGGAGCCTCTCAGCCTCCTGGCGGGCCTCACTTGCCTTGAGCTGGAACATCTCAGCCTCGGCCTGTTTCAGCCGAACAATGCTCTCGAGCTCCTCCACCTGCTGCTTCTTCCGCAGCCTCTCGGCCTTGAACTCCTGAACTTGTCTGGCCTTCTCATCAAGCTCACGGTCACAGGCCTCCACAGCGGTGCGAGCCTTTTTGTACAGGCCCATCTTCTCTTCAGCAACAAGCTCCATCTTTCTGACAGCTTCTTGGACTACCTCTGCAATACGATTACATGCCTCCTGGGGAGTGATCAAGCGTCCCGATTCTTCATTTTCAGAGCTCTTTGGGGAATCCATCTCAAGCTCTGTGAAAACATAAGCATAGTACAGCATCCATCCGTCAGTTACTAAGCAGCCAAAATAAAGCATTTATCAGTCAGTTCATTCCTAAGCAGCCAAACGAACTGCATATGGTAACAACCGTGTTACTAACAGACTCGAATGACTAATCAACTTAATCATGACATGCAAAATGAATAAAATAGGCATGATCGGTACTGAGCTCAGACAAAGGACAAGCAGAATCCAGCCAACCAATTTTAAACACATGTACAAAGGGAGCATCTAGAGTCTATAAAACTATGTGCTTGCTAGAACTTCTAAAGATTTTGGTACTATGACCTGTTGGGGATTATTGTAATTTGTAACTGTCGAAGGAAACCAAGTAGTGATGACAACCGTGTTATAAAGAGACTCAGATGACTAATTGACTTAAATGTGACATGGAAATGAATAAAGTAGGCATAATTGACACTGAGCTCAGGCAAAACACATGTAGAGTTCAGCCAACCAATTTATACACTTGTAAAAAGGGAATGCCTTGCCTCTAGAAAGCTATGTGCTTGCTAGAAATTTGTTAAATTCCAGCGCTATGACCTTTGGTTAGGATTATTGTAGTTTGTAACTGTGAGGGAGATAACTGGTTGACTGCTATTGTACTTGTAATGAGATCGAGCAAGTCCTAGAGGAATAGGAATTCAGGGAGATAACTTCGGTATTAAATAATCCTTTCCTGACAAGAATATCTAAACTTTCTACATCTTAAACTTTCCAGGAGCTGCTCATAGAAATGATTTTCATTTAGACTTGTGTGTAAAATCAATACAAATGGGTTGCTGAAACCTTTAAATTAAGTTATAGCAGTTAAATGGTAACAGGTCTCCAGGACAAAGGTACCAAAATGGATTAAATTGGAAGAAAAAAAATGAATGAAACGATACTAGCTCTTTCTTTCACCATGTAATCATGTGATGACTGATGATTGATGAATGTGTCTCAAATTCTTGTCTGACATCAATAGCAAATGACCTCATTTAATTTAGTTATGGAGTCTCTCCATCCTACCAAAAATCAACAGCTTGACAGCACAACTTAAGAAATAATATGGGTTGGATTATATAGCATAAAATGAGTGAAGCACTCGCATTTTAAACAACGCATAAATGAGTTGAGCCGTAGCTTAGTGAAGAAACTGGAAACCGTCAGTAGTCCCGATAGGGTGGTGCACGTGACCGGAAGTATCAGAAGGGATCGTGCTTGCACACAAAGCGTTTACCCAGGTTCGGGTCCTCATGGTAGAGGTAATACCCTGCTCCTGCTTGGATTTGATTGATGTATGGGTCACCTCGTAATGGTGTTCATGTCTATCAAGACTAAGGTTGAAGATGGTAAAAGTATCTCTAGCTACCCACGGCAGTGTTGGTGCATATCGCTCCATCAACTACGCCTCGCACCCGCACCTTCCCTTGGCACTTGGTGCTTGTCTAGATGCAACCTCGTCTTCTCCACGGGCTTCTGCAGACGATACTGGTCATACTACACCGCCTCATCTAGCAGCAGGTGTTGGTGGCAACTCCTCTCCTAGTGCTGCTAAGTCGACTACTTCAGTTGTGTCCTTCACTGTGCAGGAGATTATGCGACTTCGTGACCTGCTGATTGCCTCCGGCTCTCCATTTCTGGGCGCACCAAAGTCAACCTCTATAGTTGAGCCCCTGACTGAGCAGGAGATTGCACAACTTCAATGCCTTCTAGCTGCATCTTCTGGTTCTGCATCAAGAGGTTCAGTTGGTTCTGCTACCAACTCTTCTGGCATTGTGAGACCACCTTCTACACAGGCAGGTACATCTTCGTGGATTCTTGATACTGGAGCATCTTTTCATATGACTCATGATTCATCCACTCTGTCCTCTATTCGACCTCTCGATTCTCCTGTTCATGTTCTTACTACAAATGGTACCTCCCTCCTAGTTAATGGCCGAGGTATTCTTAGCACTTCGTCTTTTCATGTTGCTCATGTTCCTCGACTTACCATGCAACTCATTTTTGGTGGTCAGATTGTTGACTCGTTACAGGGTCATTCTCAACTTTGGCTCATGTCTTGTTCAGGATCATCACACTGGTGGTCTCCTTGATGCTGGCCCCCAGCATCCTTCACTGCCACCACCGCCAGTCTCTCCTCCTCGGTTGCCTGTCTACCAGCTCTTTTCAGCAGTGGCATCATCGCCTTGGTCACTTGTGTGGCTCTCGGCTCTCATCCTTAGTTTGACGTGGTCTTCTCCGACCCGTCTCTGGCGGTGTGTCTTTAGACTGTAAGGGTTGTCGGCTTGGTAAACAGGTCCAGTTAACTTATCCTCGTAGCGAGATTGTGTCTCAGCGTCCTTTCAACCTTGTTCACTCTGATGTATGGAGTCTAGCTCCTTTTGCCTCGAAAGGAGACCATCGTTACTATATTATCTTTATAGATGATTTCTCTTGACATACCTGGATATATTTTATGTCTTCTCGTAGTGAGGTTATATCTATATACAAGTGTTTTACTGCCATGGTTCACACTCAGTTCTCTACGCCTATTCATGTGTCCCGTGTTGACTTTGTTGGAGAGTATATCTCCAAGACGTTGATTGGAGTCCTTGTTCTGCAGGGTACTCTTGCTCAATTCTCTTGTCAATGGTGTGGCTGAGTGCAAGCATCGTCGCCTTCTTGAGACGGCTTGTGTGTTGATGATTGCCACCTCTCTTCCGCCTCACTTTTGGAAAGTGAGGCTGACTCCACTTCCACCTATCTCAGCAACATTCGACCACCCTCTACTCTGCAGGGTTGCATTCCTTTCGAAAGTCTTTTTTATCGTTCTCCGGATTATTAGGCACTCCGTTTGTTTGGTTGTGTTTGCTATGTTGTTCTTGCCCCCCGTAAACGCACCAAACTGACCACTCAATCTATCGAGTGTCTCTTCTTAGGATAGAGTGATGAGCATAAGGGCTATCCTTGTTGGGATCATGTCAATCATCGAATGCGTATTTCTCGAGATGTGACTTTCATTGAGTCTTGTCCCTTCTACCAGCATCCATCTTCCTCAACCTTTTCACTCAAGGATATATCTTTTCTCACTTTTCTTGACACGCCTATCACTCCTGTTGAGCCCTTGTCCACCCATCTCACTGCTCATGCTTCTCCGATTGTTGCAGATCCAGTGCCACCATGTCCTATGGTTTCCTCACCTCGCTTATCCCAGGATTTTGCACCATCATCCCCAATGCCTTCCCCATCTCCATCACCTTAGTCTATCCCGGTGATTCCGGGTATTGTTCCTTTTTTCCTCATTATTATACACATCGTCCACGTGTTGTGGATGAGTCTACTTCTGGTGTGCCATCTTCCTTGTCTATGGTTTTTCTGGCACTATTGTCCTTGGGCCAACTTCTTATCGTGATGTTGATGTTCATCCCAAATGGCAGCTTGCGATGGCCGAGGAGATTGCTACTCTTGAGCGCACAACACATGGGATCTTGTTTCTCTTCCTCGCGTGTTCGTCTCACCACTTGTAAGTGGGTCTACAAGGTCAAGACGCTTTGATGGTTCCTTGAGCACTATAAAGCTCGTCTTGTGGCTCGGCTTTCAGCAGGAGCATGGTCGTGATTGCCGGGGGGATGACCCCGGGTAGTCCCAAAGCGGCGAGCCGAGCTGGCGGCCCGCCTGCCTTGGCCGGCTGCTCCAGCCGGCCAACTGCTTGAAGTCAACTGCCACGTCCCGTCAGACCTGCGCGGACGATACGGCCATGCTCTACAGGAGCACTATTGATGAATAGCAGACATTGTACGTACGTCATGTGTCATCTCAAATAGTATTTGTTAGGCTGCATGGGCCATCCCTTGCTCCCTGGGCACCAGTTTATAAGGTGCACTAGCGAGCCTCCCATGGCAAGGGCTCACGCACGCTCAATTTCTCTCCTTCCCGATCGATCTCCTCTAGCTAGAGACAGCCAACTAGAGGCTCACAGGGAGACTTTCTCCATGGAACCCAAACAGCTCAAGGAGCAACCATGTACCACCCTATAGGAGATCTAGGACTTCCC